TTTTGACCCAAGGGCACTCGTGGCAATTTAACATGTCGAGATAACACGCCGCACTCTCGTAGTTTGAGTCCGGCTGGAGGAGTTGCTAAGACCTAGGCAAAGTTGAAACGGCAGTCCACCCTGGATGAAAACATCTTAAGAGAAGCAAGAATATGTGAAATTCAATGGAACTGTAAGTTATACTCTTGTAATTGTGATAAAATTCATCTACCACTTCTTCATCACCTTAAACGAAATAGGGTGAATACATCTCATCTGATTTACTGATAGTATCGAAACAAAAAACATTTATATTGTTATTACGACCAACCTCTCCTTAAATTCATGGTGAGTAGGCTTCAATTCTATCAGTCGATGTGGGATAAGGGCGGTAGTCGCTCTAGGTCGCATAAGAGGATGAATTGCTGACAGTTGAATTTGCATACAATTTTATGTGTATACCTGTCAGTTTCATATGAATGCAAGGTTATGCGAAACTTAATGATATAAGGCCTACTTTTATTACTGTAATAAAATTCTATCATTTCTCCATCACTTAATGCATTACTTTTGTGACTAGCTTAATCTGCTATACTCACCATGTCAAAACTCATAAGCTATTATCAATGGACAAACCTCTGATATATAATCTCTGCTTCTTGGTAATCCATAGCTTTTTGGTGTTCGGCTTTGTAAGGACCTCCTGTATACATGGTAGTTAGCTCGCCTAGCTTCCCTCATATCCAAGGCTCATCACCAGTATTGATAAACTCAAATGGCCATGAGGATCTCATTATATAGCAATGATTTTTTTAGTATTTAATAGTGAATAATATACGGTGTCTTGCCACCAAAAAGCCGGCAGCTAACTTTCGTTGTCTTTATTTTATCCTTATCTCAAGCCCATTGAACGACAACCCTACATCTCGGCCCCTCTTCGCTTCTCGACTTCTTTCGTGAGCTCATTGCCTTTTAAAGAAAAACCACGGGCGCCGCGCTCGGCTGGCCGCGTTGATCCCATTGCTCGTTTGCGGGCGCCGCTTCTGGTACCGCCCTCTGTAGATCGTAGTGCTAGTGTAAAACATCGTCGCCAACAGCGCTCTGCTTCAGATTATGTACAGCACCCGAGTGATGATCAAGAGTCGAAACTTGTCAGTTCGAGAACAGCTCTTTCTAGGTTGCGTGCTCTTCACGCTTCCTGGCTAGCGAAAAAGCGCAGAGACACAACGGTCCGGGTCTCCCGGTTTAAGGCCAAGTTGGATGCTGATGCCCATTCACGTGAGCAGGCGGCCAAGGCCAAACGAAAGGCCTTCTTCGCTTCTGGCCGCGGTAAAGGCAAAAGAAAGTCATGAATTCTGAATGCCACTTAACTGGCCATTTGTTTGTCCTTCCTGTACCAACAACGATACTACTATCATCTCTACCCTTTTCCTTCTTTCTTTTCATCATACTCTTGTTGTCAAAATGGATTATGCGTCGGCTTTTGTAAATATATATTTTAAGATTCATTTTCTCTACTGTGTGTGCTCTACTCGTTCGCTAAATTCATTACCCACATGACGTATTTGTTGGGTTTTCCCTTAGTCACCATGGCACGATCGGCAATTTCGTTATGCAATGTAATTGAAGGTTGCTAGAAGTAAAATGTTATAAACATTGTCTCAATTTGTATGTAGCCCAAATTATTGAATTATATTTGGCCTTAGCTTGAAATGTTTGTAAGATTTGACTCTTACAATCTCCGTCATAGGGCGGATGC